CCCCAGTAGATAGTTGTATGTCATAGTTGCACATCCTTCTAGTTGCTGTATGTGGGATGTGGCCTCAGCATGGCCAGAGAAGCGGTGCATTGGTGTGCACCCAGGATCCAAACCCGAGCCACCAGTAGCGGAGCACACGCGCTTAACCACTAAGCCACGGGGCCGGCCCAGAGTTTTGCTATCTTAACAATGTTAAGTCTTCCCATTCATGAACATTTGTATAGGTCTTTAAAATTTTTTTCAACAATGTTTTGTAGTTTTTTTTTTTTCCTGAGCTAACATCTGTTGCCAATCTTCCCCTCTCTCTTTTTTTCCCTCCCCAAAGCCCCAGTACATAGTTGTCTATTCTAGTTGTAAGTACTAGTTCTTCTATGTGAGCTGCTGCTACAGCATGGCTACTGACAGATGAGTGGTGTGGTTCCGTGCCGGGAATCAAACCTGGGCCAATGAAGTGGAGCGTGCCAAATTTTAACCACTAGCCTATCAGGGCTGGCTCTGTTTTGTAGTTTTTAGAATATAAGATTTGCATTTCTTTTGTTAAATTTATTCCTAAGAGTTTTATTCGTTTTGTGTTATTGTAGATGGAATTACTTCCTAATTTCATATTAGGTTTGTTCATTGCTAGTGTATAGAAATATAAGTGATTTTTGTATATTGATATTGTATCTTATAATGTTGCTGAACTTTGTTTATTAGGTCTAATAGTTTTTAGGGGGTTCCTTAGGATTTTCTACATACAAGATTTTTGTCATCTGTGAATAGAGATAGATTTGCTTCTTCGTTTCCAATATGGATGCCTTCTATGTATCTATGTGTGTGTGTGTATATGTGTGTATGTAGCCTAATTGCCGTGGTTAGAACCTCTACTACGATAAATAGAAGTGGTAAGAGTGGACATCCTTATCTTGCTTCCGATGTTAGGGGGAACACTTGCACTCTTTTATGATTAAGTATGATGTTAGCTGTGGGTGTTTCATAAATGCCCTTTCTTGGGTTGAGGAAGTTTCCTCCTATTCCTAGTTTATTGAGTTTTTATTTTTTGATCATGAAGGGGGTGTTGGATTTTGTCAAACATAATTCTGTTCTGTTTCTAGTCTGTTGAGATGATCTTGTGGTTTTTGTCCTATATTCTGTTGTTACTGCATGTTACATTAATTAGTTTTCAGATGTTAAACCAACCATGCTTTCCCAGGTTAACTCTCACTTCGTCATGTATAATCTTTTTTATATGTTGCTGGATTCGGTTTGCTAGTAGTATTTTGTTGAGGATTTTTGCATCTATATTCATAAGGGGTATTGGTCTGTAGAACCTATGACTTTCGGACTTTAAACCTGTGTTCTTAACCTGTAATTGGGAAAGAAATGAGTGTGGGGTAAGAAAGGTAACAAAATTAGCCACCAGAGGGGACTGTGGAACCCAAAAGAGGCTTGTTCCTGTTTAAAATGAGTGTAAGAGAGACTGGTAGAGAAAGAGATCAAAAATGCTTGAGTGGGAAGAAAATAAGGGTGAGAGTGTAGTGTCAGTTGAGGGGAACGGTGAGGGTGCTGCAGATAGACATGGCTTCAAGTCCTAGCTCTGTCCCTTACTAACTGTGTGACCTCCGGCAAGTGATGTTATTTCTCTGACCCTCACAGTCCTCATCTGTAAAATGAGGAAATAATGTTAAAGAAAAGGCGAGGAAAATAGGCCAAAGGTTGGGATTGAATGGGATCAAAGGGAGAGATGGGTTAATTTTTCTCAGATGGCCTTAATTTTTTCAGTGATAATAGGATCCTCTGAGAGGGAGGTCAGTGAGTTTGAACTTCAAGGAGGTCTGGAATCTCTGGCAAAGGAAGAGAACTTAACCAAGCTTTCAATTCATTTGCCAAAACCAATGTATCTGTTCCTCTCCTCCACGCCCCCTCACGTGCACTCCCTTCTTCTCTACTGGGAGGAGCAGCCCATCTTTTCTTGTGTTCATACCCCTAATTGCCTCACTAAGAGCTTCTGGTTCCCTTGCCTCCTACCTTACTCTCTCTCTCGCTCTCCACACATCTGCCTGAGGCCTCTCCTAATGAGCAAAGGTCAGAGCATGTCCTTCCATGGGCAGCTGCCCGTTGCATTCTCTGTCCACCACACTTGTTAGTGTCCTGAACTTTCCATGCCCTTCTTTTTCCCAACTGTCCCAGAAACTCCTGGTTTCTAGTAGAAATACCATGGTTCACTTATTCCTTCCCCTATTCATAGATGCTTAGTTTGTTTCCAATTTTTACTCCTGCAAGCAAGACTCCAATGAATGTCCTTGTTGTTGTCTCCTTGGTCAGTTGGGCAAACGTGTCTCGAGGGTAGAGCCTGAGTTGAATTGCTGGGTCATAGAGTAGGCATGGCTTTACTTTGTGATGGATACTCCCATATTGCCTTCCAAAGGGGCCGTTCAATCGATCCCTCCTGTCTTACCTCCTCCATGAAGCCTCCTTGATAGCCGTGGGCAGAGTTCCCTAAGCCTTGCATCTGTGTTTCCCCTGGACAGTCTACTTGCTGCATCGTTGTTTCTATGTTCATCTTCCCACTAGACTGCAGACTTTAAGTGATAGATTTACTTTAATTTTTTGAATAGGTTATATTTGTATTAGGTACAGAATTCAGAAGAGATGCAAGGTCTTCATCTGTCCTTCCCCCAACTACTTCCTAGTGTTGTTGATTTCTTTTGTAGTCTTCCAGAGATATTTGATGTGTATATAAGCAACTAAGTGTCTATGTGTACTTTTCCCCTTCATTTTATATACTAATTGTAATTCACAACACATTGCTTGCAACTTGCTTTTTCTACTTAACAGTGTATCTTAGATATCCTTCTATCAGAATATGAAGACCCTCATCTCTTTTTACAGATATATAAATTTATTGAACTAGCCTCTTAGTAAGGGACATTTAAGTTGTTTATAATCTTTTGCTATAAGGATAATGCTGTAGTGAATAACCTTGTACATATGTCCTTATTTAATACATATGATTCTGACCTTTCTGGACCAATGGGTAGTGCATATGTAATTTTAAAAAATTGAGGTGAAATTCACATAACATAAAATTAATCATTTTAAAGTGAACAGTTAAGTGGCATTTAGTACATTCACAACATTGTGCAACCACTACCTCTGTCTAGTTCCAAAACATTTCCACTACACCAAAATAAAACCCTATATTTATTAAGCAGTTACTCCCCATTCCCCTCTCCTTCTGCCACCAATCTGCATTTCATTTCTATGGATTTAACTATTCTGGATATTTTATATAAATACCATCCAACATGTGGCCTTTTGTATCTGGCTTCTTTCATTTAGCATGTTTTCAAGATTCATCCATGCTGTAGAATGTATGAGTTGTAGTGTTTATGCCTTTTTATGGCTAAATAATATTCCATTGTATGTAAATACCACAATTTGTTTAGCCATTCATCCATTGAGGGACATTTGGGTTGTTTCTACCATTTGGCTGTTGTGAATAGTGCTGGTATGAACACTCGTGTACAAGATTTGCTTGGGTACCTGTTTTCATTCTTTTGGGTATATTCCTAGGAGTGGAATTGCTGAGTCATTAGATGGTTCTATGTTTAACTGTTTGAGGAACCACAAACTGTTTCCAACAGTGGCTGTACCATTTTACATTCCCACCAGCAACGAATGAGGGTTCCAATTTCTTTGCATCCTTGCCAACACGTATTGTTTTTTTATTATAGCCATCTTTATGGGTGTGAAGTGGTTACATATATAATTTTGATAGATCTTGGCAAATTATCCTCCTTAGACGGTGTATAAATATATTCTTACTGGCAATGTATGAGAGTAACTGCTTCTTCAAACTTCTTGCCAACTCGGCGTAACTTGACACTTTTTGATTTTTGTCAGTCTGATCATTATAACATGGAATCTTACTGTATTTTTGGTTTTTAAAATTTCTTATATTGAGTTAGCTTGGCCATCCTTTCATATGTTTGAGCCGTTTGTATTCTGTCTGTTGTAAATAGTCTCTTCATATCCTTTACCCCTTTTCTACTAGATTGCTTGTCTTTTATTTGTAGGAACTTGACAGATATTGGGGAAACTAGTCCTTTGTCTGTGATATGAGTTGTTAATATTTTCCCTACTCTGTCTTTCCCTGAATATTTACTTGCCCACCGTATGCATTGTCCTAGGTGCTGGAGCTGTACACTTAAACAGGAGACCCAAGGCTGCCCTCCTGGAGTTTATGTTCTAACAGGGGAATGCGGGGAGACAATATACAAATAATCAAGATAATTTCCAATTATGGTCCATACTTAGAGGGAGACAAAGCAGGATGTCATTATGATAACAGGTGGGTGGTGAGGTGGGAGTCTGCTTATATAGAAAACTGAGTGGGAGATGTTAATTTGAGTCCAGACACAAGAGGCAAGATGGCCATTCAAATAGCTGTGAAAGAGGAATGCAGAGGCCACAGGGCCTGTTGAGCCTGGCATATTTGGGGCAGTGAAAGGAGGCCAGTGGGCTGAGTGTAGTGAGCAGGGGGAGGGGTACAAGATGAGGCTGGAAGGGATCGGGGCCAGATCCTGAGCGTCTAGCCTGCCATCAGGAGGAGTGCAGATTTTGTACTAAGTATAATGGGAAGCCTCAGGAGGGTAATAAGTAGGAAGTTGTTATTATATCATAAGTATTTTTCCAAATCATTAAAACTGTTTGAGAACATTTAATGACTGCTTGTTATTTCGTGGTTATGTGTAAACCGTAATTTATTACACTTGTTGGAAAATTTTGATTTTTTTTCCTCTCCTCATATTTAATCTTATAAAATCTTGATAAACTAATCTATAATTTTGATTGCCTTCTTAGGCTATTTTCCTACAATAGATTTTATGAGCAATTTTTAAAGGTGTTTCATACATGAAATTCCTCAACCTTCTTGAGTGCTCTTTTGTGTTACAGACTGTGTTAATGACAGCTACTGGTTTGGGAGGGATAAAAGCTGTGAATATTGCTTTGACGAGCCACTGCTGAAAAAAACGGATAAATACCGGACTTACAGCAAGAAGCACTTTCGGATTTTCAGAGTAGGTGACAAATATCCATACATTTGGGAGAGCTGGTAATCTAGTCATCACTCTTAGATATCTTCCCACTATAACTCCCCACTGTTACAACTTTGAAATAAAATGTTCTCTGTTTTAGGAAATGGGTCCTAAAAACTCTTACATCGCATACATCGAAGATCACAGTGGGAATGGAACCTTTGTAAATAGAGAGCTTGTAGGGAAAGGGAGACGCCTTCCTTTGAATAACAATTCTGAAATCGCACTTTCAGTATGCAGTAATAAAGGTAATGTTATTATCTTATGGTTGCTGGAATTTTTTTCCTCCCATATTAAAGGAAAATTGACATGTGTCCTTGCAGAAGTATGGTTTGAGTAAGTAAAGTAAGGAGATTTGCATTCAAGATTCAACTCAGTCCTAGTTGCATTTTTTAATTATGAAAAAGTTCTATCAAGGCAGGTTTTCTAAGGTTTAATTGGTTTGATTAGTTTTATTTAAAGCCATATGCTGTCAATTGAATTATCATATTGCTTAAGAGAGTTCATAGTTCATTGATGGATACAGTTTATACCACGTCAGTCTTAGATATCTGTGAGTTGTTGTTTTAGGCCATTAATTCATTTCCCTCCCTCCATTTCTCATTCTTCCCTTTCTTCATTCCTTCCATTCATTCATTTCTGCACATATTTATTGAACTCCTGTTATATGCTAGGCAGTAGGCTATAGGCTATGGGTTTTTCTATAAGAATCTCAATTTAGACCTTCCACCTACTTAAATACCACCTGGTTATTCTGTGAAAGTGGAGATGTTTATTGTCATCATCAGGTACTGTTTTATAAGCATCCACTCCCAAAACTTTATGACTATCACATCTAAAATGAACAATTGTCATTCAGTGCAAAAAATTCAGTGCAGAAAAAATAAAAAAAAAACAGCATTAAATGTAGGTCACAGTGATTTTAAATCCTAGGACAAGAGAATACTCTTGTTTCTTTGATTAAAAAAAACCCACAGAACTTCCCGAAACTATCTGAGAGTTGAATAACTTGGAAGGGTATGTGTGTGTATGTGTAGATAGCATCTTAAAAATATAGATTTCCACCAGTACTCTCCCACAGATCCTGATCCAGAAGTTCCAGGATCTAAAAAATCCTGCCTAGGTGATTCTCATGCAGCCAGACTTCAGACTGGCATCTGAGAACTATGGCTATACTGGGCATCCTGAAGCGCATTTTAGGATTGACTTAGTATTCCCTGTTTCTGACTATTTTGTTTTCTATCTGATAATTATAGTCAGGGCAGCTGCATAGGGTTTTGCTGTTTGAGAACATCTGGTCGAAGGGGCACCTGGCCCTGAAATTTTGGCCTGTCCTCCACTTGACAAGCTGTGTGCCACCTTCTTCTTCTTCTTTTTTTTTTTTGTGAGGAAGATTAGCCCTGAGCTAACATCCATGCTAATCCTCCTTTTTTTGCTGAGGAAGACTGGCTCTGAGCTAACATCTATTGCCAATCCTCCTCCTTTTTTTTCCCCAAAGCCCCAGTAGATAGTAGTATGTCATAGTTGCACATCCTTCTAGTTGCTGTATGTGGGACGCGGCCTCAGCATGGCCGGAGAAGCCGTGCGTCGGTGCGCACCCGGGATCCAAACCTGAGCCGCCAGTAGTGGAGCGCGCGCACTTAACCACTAAGCCACGGGGCCGGCCCCTGCCACCTTCTTCTAATTGGTCTATCCAAGGGGCACCTTTTCTAATTTGAACAAAGGTGTTACATGGGTTAAAGGTGGCCATGATGGAAATAGATCAAACTGCTATTCTACAGACTACGTTCAGTCTACTGACATTTTATCAGGCATTTGCTATTATTTGTTCTTTAACATGAAAATCCAAATTTCTTTGAAAAGGTGGCATATCTGACTACACTGAGCCTATAATCCCATTACTTCAGGATTTGCAGGTGCTGAGTAGAGGCTGCCTCCTTCAGACGCGTGATGTGTTTTCTCCTTCAAGTCCCCACTGCTCCATGTTGTCTTAGACTCAACCCAGCCTTACTTGTGTTCATGACCTTCCAGCTTGTGTGGGCAACTGTGTCTGCAGCCCCTGAAGTGGGCCTGACATTTGTGAGAAATACATTCCAGAGCCCTTCAAATTTCCACATTCTTGGATGCCACTGGAACGTCTAGGTTCATAAATATACATAAGCATACAGGCATAGTTGTATCCCAGGTGGCCAGCAGATCTCATTCACTAGGCAAGCGTCTGCCTTGTGTGGACCAGCCTGGAGTGAAGCACAGGTGGCTCAGATTTGTGCCAGAGACTGGATCTCTGGGTTACTTCAGGGAGGTCAAAAGCTGTCACCTGAAATCTGGGAAACTCAAGGATCTTAACAAATTTCACTCTCTTTTAAGATATAGGTGGTTGCAAATTTACCATTGATGACTTTGTAGAACTGAAATGTTTGATAAGTGATTGCAGGCTTGGCCCACATGGATCGTTAAATTATTAAATGAGTAGGTGTTTTTGTTTTTTTTTTCTTTTTCCGAGATACAGCCCAAATAATGGAGAAATGAAGGAGAAGTTCTTTTGAAAATGCTATTTATTTAACTTTACAAGTAGGTTCAAGATGGTTTGCACTATAACATACCAGATATGTAAAAGTATAAATGGCTAAAGAAGATAATACAAGAATGATGATCCTATGGTCTAATTTTTATTGCGATGTTTATTACTTGCCTACAATATTTTTTTCTAGACTCAAACTAATTGCTTTTTGGGCTTGTGCTAATCTGCATGGGTATTTTATAATAGTGCAATTGATTAATATTCTGAGGTCAGGGAATAAGACTAGCATTTATGTATGGATTTCCTGTACTATGTGAGAACGATGCTGTGTATTTCCATTAAAGAATGAAATTTGACAATCATCATTTTCCATGGGTTTCATGATATGTGTTAGCCTAGCTAAATAATTCCTTTGGGGTTAAATGTTAGATGTAATTAAAAACAATTGTTTTATATTCCATATACCATTTATCTTCTTTTTATTGAATGATTTAATGAGACCTATTTCTGCCTTTTTTTCCTTAGTTTTTGTATTTTTTGATCTGACTGTAGATGATCAGTCAGTTTATCCTAAGGAATTAAGAGATGAATACATCATGTCAAAAACTCTTGGAAGGTAATTTTCTTTTTTCTTATGGATATTGCACTTAATTTTTTTCTAAGCATTTGTCATTGGTTAGTTTTCCATTCCTGTTTTTATAACATTTGTTATCTATTCATAACATATTTGTAGGGCACCTATTTGTGATAGGTATGTTATTCATTTATTTGATAATGATCAATTGAATTGAATGGTTTTTCCTTAAAAATTTTATCTATGATAACTTCCTAAAAGCAGTTTTATTGAGATATAATTCACATACCATACAACTCACCCATTTAAGATGTACAATTCGGTGGTTTTTAATGTATTCACAGAGTTGTGAAATCTTTACCACGATCAATTTTAGAACATTTTCATTACCTTCCAAAAAGAAACATTTACTGCATTTCTGCCCTCTTCAGAATTCGTGACATCTTGGGAAGTGAAATGAAACTGACCATTGAATAGGGCCAAGTTCTGAAAATTTTTGGTTTCAGGACCCCTTACACTCTTAAAAATTACTGAAGACCCCAAAGAGCTTTTGTTCATGTGGCTTAAATCTATTGATATTTACTCTATTAGAAATTAAAATGGAGACATGTTAATAATACTTATTAATTCATTAAAAAATAAACTCACTCATGTTAAGATAAATAACATGTTTGTTTTTGAGGAAGATTGGCCCTGTGCTAACATCTGTTGCCAATCTTCTTTTTTCCTTTTTCTCCCCAAAGCCCCAGTACATAGTTGTGTATCGTAGTTGTAGAGTTGTAGTTCTTCTATATGGAACACCGCCTCAGCATGGCTTGATGAGCAGTGAGTAGGTGTGTGCCCAGGATCTCAACCAGTGAACCCTGGGCTGCTAAAGCAGAACATGCAAACTTAACTGCTATGCCACTGGACTGGCCCCGATAAATAACATTTTTTAATGAAAATAATTACTTAAAAAAAGATTAGTGAGGGGCTGGCCCGGTGGCGTAGTGGTTAAGTTTGCGTGCTCTGCTTCGGTGGCCCGGGGTTCACAGGTTCAGATCCTGGGCGTGGACCTACGCACCGATTATCAAGCCATGCTGTGGCAGGCATCCTACATATAAAGTAAAGGAAGATGGGCATGGATCTTAGCCTGAGGCCAGTCTTCCTCAGCAAAAAGAGGAGGATTGGCAACAGATGTTAGCTCAGGGCTAATCTTTCTCACCAGAAAAAAAAAGATTAGTGAGAAGAGTAGCATTGTTTCACATTTTTGCAAATCTCTTTTTTGTTTTTGTTTTTGTTTTTGTGAGGAAGATCAGCCCTGAGCTAACATCCATGCCAATCCTCTTCTTTTTGCTGAGGAAGACTGGCCCTGGGCTAACATCCGTGTCCATCTTCCTCTACTTTATGTGGGACGCTGCCACAGCATGGCCTGACAAGCGGTGTGTCGGTGAGTGCTTGGGATCCGAACCCAGGCTGCCAGCAGCAGAGCGCGCGCACTTAACCACTATGCCACGGGGCCGGCCCCTGCAAATCTCTTTGATGTCTGCTGGCTTACTAGAAGATGGCTAGATCCTGATATTTGCTTCTTCATTGAGTCTTTCACGATATCACATGTCATGTAGCCTCTGGAAAACTCTGTACACTCATGAGACAATAAGAATGAAAAAGGCAAATAATGTCTTAGTATTCTGAAAATAGTTTTGACTTTATGGACATCCTGAAAGGATCTTGGAGTCCTTTAGGCGTTGCCTGATGATACTTTGAGAACCACTTCCTTAGGGAAGGTGTTCAGGACACCTTTAGCACGTTACACAATGTCCTTCACCCTCCTATCCCTCCCCCTCCCTAAAGGCTTTTCTATTTATTGACATTTTTGGAAATGTGAAAGTAGAAAATAATAGAAAGAAAGAATTACCCACATTCCTGCCATGTAGAATCAAGCACAGTGTACTCTTTTTTTTTTTTTTTTTTTTGTGAGGAAGATCAGCCCTGAACTAACATCCGATGCCAATCCTCCTCTTTTTTGCTGAGGAAGATTGGCCCTGAGCCAACATCCGTGCCCATCTTCCTCTACTTTATATGGGACGCCACCACAGCATGGCTTGACGAGCAGTGTGTCGGTGCGCAGGCGGGATCCAAACCTGTGAACCCCGGGCCGCTGAAGCGGAGTGTGCACACTTAACCGCTGCGCCACTGGCCGGCCCCAAGCACAGTGTACTCTTTATCACCATCTATGGGAGATATTTTAGTTTATGGACATGAAATTCAGTAACTCATTGTGTTTCCATATTTGCATTGGCTACATGGAAGCTTGCAGCAAATTTGTGCCTGCCCTTAAGAAATATATGGGACTCTTATGTTTTCTAAGGGAAGAGTCAACACAAATCCTTTAACTTTTAGCAGGTGACAGAAACTTAAATGAGTCAGGTAAGAAATTTACTGGCTCTTGTAACTGGGAAATTCAGCGGCACAGCTGACTTCAGGCGTGGCTGGACCAGGAGGCCTTTAGGGCTTTATTGCACTCTTTGGCTTTGTCTGTGGCTGGACCTAAGGGCTCCCGTAGTGTTGCCAGGGCTCTGGCTCCATCTCTGGATTTAGCTACTCTTTGTTGCCCTTCTATAGAATTGCTATCTCTGTGTGGCAGAAAAATGGCTTCCAGGAGCCCCACATTCATATTTTCTTTCTTCTAGAAACCATGGCAGAGAGAATTGTTTCTTTCCCAACATCAGCATTTGATTCCGGGGAAAACCCTGACGGGCTCAATTTTGATTACGTGTCCACCTCATGGTCCTAGGAGTGGGTACTATATTATTATAGACACTCCACCGAGAAGATTTCTCAGGCAAAAGGTGACTGTTATCTGCAGAAGGGGAATTGGAAAGTGTTTTGAGCAGATTAAAAAAAAATAATAGTTATATAGACCAATATCTTACACCATATACAAAAATTAAAATAAAAAAAAAAACCTAAATGTAACAGGTAAAACTATACACCTGTAAGAAGAAAACATAGGGACAACTCTTCATGACCTTAGATTTGGCAATGGTTTCTTAAATATGGCACTAAAAGCACAAGCAACAAAAGAAAAAATAGATAAATTAGACTTCATCAAATTTAAAAACTTTTGTGTCAAAAGACACTATGAAGAGAGTGAAACACAACCACCAGAATGAGAGAAAATATTTGCAAATCATATGTCTGTTGAGGGTCTAGTATCCAGAATGAAGAACTCTTATAATTCAGCAACAAAAAGATAACCCAATTTAAAAATGGGCAAAGAGGGCCAGCCCTGTGGCTTAGTGGTTAAGTGCACGTGCTCCACTGCTGGCGGCCTGGGTTTGGATCCCGGCGCGCACCGACGCACCGCTTCTCTGGCCATGCTGAGGCCGTGTCCCACATACAGCAACTAGAAGGATGTGCAGCTATGACATACAACTATCTACTGGAGCTTTGGGGGAAAAAAATAAATAAATAAAAATGGGCAAAGGATTTAAATAGACATTTCTCCAAAGAAGAGACACAAATAAAAACCAGATGAGAAGATGCTCAGCATCATTAGTCATTAGGGAAATGCAAATCAAAACCACAATGAGATACCACTACATACCCACTAGGATGGCCAAAATAAAGAAACAGAAAGTGACAAGTGTTTGTGAGGATGTGGAGAAATTGGAACTGCTATACACTGCTGGTGGGAATGTAAAATGGTACAGCCACTGTGGGAAATAGTTTGGTGTTTTCTCAAAAAGTTAAACATAGAATTACCATATGACCCAGCAATTCCCCTTGTAGGTATATACTCTCCTAAATAGAAAACAGGTGTTCAAACAAAAACTTGTGCATGAATGTTCATTGCAGCTCTATTCACAATAGTCAAAAGGTGGAAACAACCCAGGTGTCTATCAACAAATGAATGAACAAAATGTGATATAGCCATACAATGGAATATTATTTAGCTATAAAAAGGAATGAAATACTAATACGTGTTACAGCATGGATGAACTTTGAAAACATGCTAAGTGAAAGATGCCAGAGACAAAGGCCACATATTGTATGATTCCATTGATAGAAGATAATTGGAATAGGCAAATCCATAGAGACAGAAAGCAGATTAGTGGTTGCCAGGGGCTGGGGGCGGGGTAGAATGTAGAGAATACTTACTAGGTATGGGGTTTCCATTTGGGCTGATGAAAAGTTCTGGAACTAGATAGAGATGATGGTTGCACAACGTTGTGGATGCACTTAATGCCGCTGAATTGTACACTTTAAAATGATTACAATGGTAAATTTTATGTTATGTGTATACGCAATACACAATAAAAAAGATGTCTTGGCAAACTCTTCACCCCACTCCCAAAACCCACAATAGTTATAAGTCTACTTCAGGCAGGTAATGAGTGATTGATACTCGAGTAGCCATTACTTTGGGCTGACCCAAACTTTGGAGAACAGAGCCTACGTAGGATTAACTGTACTGGTTGGCATCTTGGGTAGCATTCCTCCTCCATTATAGTATCCCGATTAATTGCAAATCTTTGAGAGCTTGCTGCAAGCAGATTAATTGTGTAATACTTTTGATTTCTTAGGTATTGTGATTTTATTTAGGGTGCAATTCATGGCATCAACTACTTATGCACTTCCTTTGAAGACAGAGAATAAGAAAGAGAAATGTATCAATGAAAGTAATTCATTTGCAAATACTGTTTACTGTTACTTGTTTCAGACGCTTATTTTTGACTAGGACTCTGTTCTATTTGATGTTTCTCTGACCTCTGGGATAAGTTATTTCTCTCTTATTTGTTCTTATCATCTTTCTGAGAATTTCACTATCTGGGGTGACAGTAAGACTTAAGTCTGTATCACTCAGCTCAACAAGTGGAATTTGGAGCTGACGCAGTGTTGTAAGGTCCACATTTACTTATGCCCATGACATTTTACATTGGTGAGGTTTTACTGTCTTCTCTGAAATCAGGGACAGTGGAAGGGTTGTAACTTGTAATAATTGAGGCCAGCTCAGAAGTGGTGGGTCTCATGATTAAAAACATTCTGACAATCAGTCACTTTCTCTCTTTTTCCATGTAGTGGTGCCTGTGGTGAGGTGAAGCTAGCTTTTGAGAGGAAAACATGTAAGAAAGTAGCCATAAAGATCATCAGCAAAAGGAAGTTTGCTATTGGCTCTGGGAGAGAGGCAGTAAGTACTTGTGTTTGTGGCTGCTCAGCTCTTCTTAACAACTTCTTCTTAACTTCCCCAAATAATTTTGGAGTGGTGAATGTCGGGAAGAAGTTCCTGCTCAGATATGTGAATTTGTATCAAAGAACATTGAAAAATTTTGAGTCTATTCAACTAATCTAGAAGCTTACTTATAGACAATTTGGTTACAAAAATATTTGGTTGTACATAATAATGTACATAGCAGGAAGTTTTTTTGTTCTTCCAGGTTGTTACAAGATTGTTTTTACAATAAATGAAAGGAAATTAGGAAAAAAACATCCAGTTGTATCCCTGCCACTGTAACCCTACAGCTGTTTTCAGTTTTCTTTTTCCTTCTTTGTTCATATGAATTCATGTTTTTAGATGATTGAAATCATACTGTATATACAATTTTGTATTCTGCTTTCTTTTCTTTTTTTTTTTTGTGAGGAAGGTCAGCGCTGAGCTAACATCCACACCAATCCTCCTCTTTTTGCTGAGGAAGACCGGCCCTGAGCTAACATCTGTTGCCAATCCTCCTCCTTTTTTTTTTTTTCCCCCTTTTTCTCCCCAAAGCCCCAGTGGATAGTTGTATGTCATAGTTGCACATCCTAGTTGCTGTATGTGGGACGCGGCCTCAGCATGGCCGGAGAAGCGGTGCGTCGGTGCACGCCCAGGATCCGAACCCGGGCCGCCAGTAGCGGAGTACGCGCACTTAACCGCTAAGCCACAGGGCCGGCCCCTGTATTCTGCTTTCTACATAAGCATTAATGCTTAAACTTTTCCCTAATATATCCTTTTTGATGATCGAGTCTTTATTTCATTGAGTTTATCATAATTTATTCAACCATTTCTCTGGTTGATCGTTTAGATAATTTCTAATTCTTTGCTCTTTCCGATAATGTGGCAATGAATATCTTAGTGTTTATAGATTTTTAAAATCTTAATTAAATTATCTTAACAGTCTCTTTATATCCTAGCCATTCATTTTATTACATTTTCTATAATACACACTTACACTGGAATGGCCAAGTGTACTGGTGTTTCAATACATAACCCAGCAAAGTAATGTAAAATATGGCCTGTAATCACGTTTTTCTTTGTGGCCAGCTGTTTCTGGCTATTATACTTTAACATTCCTTAAAGATCAATTTTTTTTCCCCAAGACAATGCCATTCTCACATGGCAAGAGGAATTTCCTGTCAGTGTTCACTTTGTTATAGATCTTTTCCCTTGTGATTCTGGATTTGTTTCCCATTTTGGAGGGAAGAAAATGCTTACCAGATTCTTAATGACTTGGAGCAAAATTTTCCTTCTTAATTTCATCCTTCAAATCATATTGGACCCTTTTAGAGCTCTCTATCATCTGAGTCCACCCTGACTTGGTAATGAGTTTAACGGCTTACAGGAAGAGGCAGGCTTTTAAAATTAAACATCTGGGTTTCTTAGCCGAAGTCCATTTTACATAAATATGTAATTCTATATCCTCTTTGCTTTGGAGGGTGTAGCCCCTGAGGGTGAGTAACTCAAGTCATCCTTTTGGAATTGTAACGGAGAGCAACTTCAGTTCCCTGAATCTTCCTCTCCTTCGAGTCTCAGTAAATATGTCAGCCTGCAGTCAATTGGAACCTGTGTCTGCTCTATTATTAGAAATTTGACTTGACATTTTCTTTATACAGTTTAATTGAATAGCTCTTGTCTATGGTTTTTGTTTATTGTATCATTTTTGTGAATATAAACAATTCCACAGCTAATGAGACAGGCAGATCTTACCAGGTAAGCATGAGAACAGTGGAAACACATTTATTTCTGGGTGTGGGAACTGGAGCAAGTGCTTCCTTTCTCTGAGTCTCAGTTGCTCCATCTGTAAAATGGGGATAATTATAGAACCCAGTTCGGTTGGGGATTATAAGTCTTGTGTGAGATGACCCTTTTAAATAAAGAGCTTGGCATAGGGCCTGATCATTTACTGAATGCTTACTGTTTGCCAAGCACTTTGCAGAGTGATTTTAGGTGAGTTATTTAATTTATTGACCTCTACACCTTGATTTCTCTGTATGAGTAGAGCTGGGTTTGGAACTCAGGCAGTTTTTACTCAACTGAGTTTAAGTATAAATATTTTCTAAATATTGGCTATTATTATTATTACTAATAAACTCTAATGTTATTTTATTTATCCAAGGATCCAGTTCTCAATGTTGAAACAGAAATAGAAATTTTGAAAAAGCTAAATCATGTAAGTATTGCTGTAAAATATGACCCATACTTAAATTCATTTATCTTAAAATATAGGAGGAGTGCAAAGCATTTCAATATAATAAAGCTAGTATTAACCTGGGTTCCTTAATTGTGTGTGTATATGTGTAAATGTGTGTGTGTTGAGCTGCCATTTAGCTGGGAAGAGCTTTACCCTGAAATTTTGAGAGAACAATGCGGTATAAAGATGTCATGACTAAATAATTATGTGATATTTCCACCAAGTTAGTTTCTGGCCAAAAGACATAGTAAATCTCCTAAATATTATATCTCATACGGGCTTGATCAACTGATTATGTTTGTGAAGACAAGGCTAAATTGGCAAATTTGGTTTAATTATACCTGAAGTTTTTTTTTTTGGTTTATTGTGGTAACATTGGTTTATAACATTGTGTAAATTTCAGGTGTACATCATTATACTTCTGTTTCTGCATGAATTACATCATATTCTCATGTTCACCACTCTAATACTAATTACATCACCACACACATGTGCCCAATTATCCCTTTCACCCTCCTCCCTCCCCCCATCCCCTCTGGTAACCACCAATTCAATCTCTGTCTATATGTATTTGTTTGTTGTTATTATCTGCTACTTAATGTGAGATCATACGGTATTTGACCTTCTCCCTCTGACTTATTTCACTTTGCATAATACCCTCAATGTCCATCCATGTTGTCACAAATGGCTGGATTTCATCGTTTCTTATGGCTGAGTAGTATTCCATTGTGTATAAATACCACATCTTCTTTATCCATTCGTCCCTTGATGGGCACTTAGGTTGCTTCCATGTCTCAGCTATTGTAAGTAATGCTGCAATGAACACAGGGGTGCATGTATCTTTACGCATTGGTGTTTTCACGTTCTTTGGATAAATACCCAGCAGTGTAATAGCTGGATCGTATGGTAGTTCTATCCTTAATTTTTTGAGGACTCTCCATACTGTTTTCCATACTGCTTTCCTGTGGTGTTATATGAGAATTTCAGCTCTTCTTTCCTTTCTATCCTTTTAAATAATACTACAGTGCATATTCAGTGTTTTCATGATTGTGACAATAACACATGTTCATGCAGAGCCAAGTATACTATGATCATAGGTAAGGAGCGGTGGAATTTGTTTGCTGTCAGCCTGACCCCCCTGGCCATATGTTCCATGATCAAAATGTGGCTGGCAGAATCTACCCTCAGTGGGTGGTGTATCTGTTATTGATGTTGTTGGTATTAATCTGGGCAGCATATGAGTGTCTTCTGCATGCCAGCTGCTATGCTGAGTGTCGGTCCTAGAAAGAGAAATAACACTTGACTCCGCCCATGCAGTGCCTGGTGAAAGGAGACCCATGGTGGGTGTTAGTTTCCTCTCTCTGCCCTCCTGGAGCTCACAGCCTGGCGCCAAGGCAGATACTAAAGATGCAGTGTAGGGTGGCACAGATTAGAACCACTGCAGGGAGTGTGGATGCATTCTGAGGGAGGCATTTGAGCTGGGGCTGGGTGCCTGAGGCCAAGTGTGCCCAGAGGGCTGGATCACCAGGCAGGAAGGTAGCTTGAGGAAAGGTGTGACACTGGGAAAGAGCACAGGGAGTGTGGGGTGGGTGGGGAGTTTTGTGGTCCGGAGAGGAGGATGCATGGGATCAGGAGCAGGAGATGAGGCTAGGTCATGAAGGGTTTGCTAATCCCTGCTGAGAAGTTAGATTTTAGCCTCTAGGCAGCAAGAAGCCAAGGATTTCTTTCTTGTCTTCCTGCCTGCCTGCCTTCTCTTCCTTCTTTTCCCTCCTTCTCACTCTCCTCCCTTTCCTCCTTTGAATATTTTTAAATTATATAATATTTAACACATGTAAAATAATAAATGTAAATTATAAAACAAATCGATAAAATGAACACCTTTGAACTTGCCATGGCCTCCCAGACCCTCTGGGCCAATGTCCCGAGTTTTGCTTTTCCTCTTGAGAGCTCTCACTACTTTTCCTTTTTTCCCTCTTTTAGCCTTGTATCATCAAGATTAAAGACTTTTTTGATGCTGAAGATTATTATATTGTTTTGGAATTGTAAGTAAAAGCTTTTTAATTTGTTTCCATTTAAATGTCTGTAAGCCACCAAAGAATCTAATGCTGGCATGCATTTCTCATCCTGGGGACCCTCATCGGATGTATGTGTGTGTGGGGTTAGTATCAGTTCTAAAAGCCCTCCAGTGTTTCCAAAGGCAGGTGGCTGAGAGGATCCAGGCCCTGGATCTGAGGGCTGGGTTTGAATCTCACTCTGTAAGTGACCGACTGACTGTAACTAACTGACTGACTGTAAGTGGGTTAGTTTACTTCACCTCTGAGTCTCATTTTCCTAGTCTTAAATGGGGAAGATAGTGATATCCCATGCACAGAGTTGTAAGGATTAGATGATATGAGGAATGAAAAGCCCCCAGCAGAGTACCTGGCACATATAGGTGCTTAACCACAGGTGGATGTTATTAGACTGAAACACTTGCCTGTAAGGGTGGACCTTTCTGCTCGGGATCACAGTACCAGGTTGCATGGTGACACCTGAGTATCTTTCAGGTGCTGGTGTACTTGCTGGTTTATTTCTGTGGCCGTAAAGTCCTGTCTTATTTGGTGTGACCAAAATCATTCTCTGTCTCATTCCTGGAAGAGGCCTGTCTTGATGTCTGTTCCTGCATAAATATGTAGTGTTTCTGGGAGTGGCTATTGTGGCACACAGGCAAAGCTTTGCTTCTGAGTGGCAAACAGTGGCTATGCAGGTGACCATTAAGATTATATACCAAACAATAGTCCCAGTCATAGCACCAGGGGAGACTGGACAGCCCTTGTGGTGCTTAAGGGAATATCTGTTGCTATTAAATAGGAGATTGTCACCTCACTGGATCTAGTTAAAACAGTTTAATAATAGTAATAATAATAATATGATAACAGTAACTGATACTAATTAAGCACTTGATATGAGCCAAGTACTGCTCTAAGCACTTTACATGGATTGACTTATGTAACCTTCTTAACAGTCATCCAGGTTACTTACAGGTTATGGGTGGGTTACTGTTTTTAGCCCCACTTTACAGAAGAGCAAACTGAAGCATAGAGGAATTGAATCACCTTGTCAAGCAGCTACACTGTGCCAGGTGCTCTACCTACATCAGTTATCTCTTAATTTTTACAACAGCCGTCAAGATAAGTGCTTTTTTTATTTTTATTTTTATTTTTTCCCCACAAAGCCCCAGTAGATAGTTGTATGTCATAGCTGCACATCCTTCTAGTTGCTGTATGTGGGACTCGATCTCAGCATGGCCGGAGAAGCGGTACGTCGGTGCGCGCCCGGAATCCGAACCCGGGCCGCCAGAAGCGGAGTGCGCGCACTTAACCACCAAGCCACGGGGCCGGCCCAATAAGTGCTTTTTTAAGAAGCAAAGACAAACTCAGAGAGGTTGCATAAGTTTTCTAAAATCCCACAGCGGAGAAGTGGTGGAGCTGGGGCTCAGACCCCAGTTGTCTGATTGTAGCCTTCTGCTGGCTTCTCTGCAACAGTATCAGAATCACCTGGGGTGCACGATAAAATGGAAACTCCTGGTCCCTGCCTTCGATCTACTACTGAAACAGATTTTTAAAAGCTCCCCAAGTGTCTCCAGTGCTCACTGCACACTCCTTCCGTCTTTCCTTGTTCCTTAGTTTGCAACAGGGACATTGTCATTGTGGATGAGGGTTATTACCTCATTGCCTTTACAAATGGGAGTCAAGACTGAATAAAAATGGCAACTCTTTCTTGTCTTAATGAGTTTGTTTTGTTTGTGTTATCTTCCCTCCAAGTGAGTTTCCCTCTAGGAATGAATCCCCTGCTTTGCGTGTGTTTCAGGATGGAAGGAGGAGAGCTGTTTGACAGGGTAGTGGGGAATAAACGCCTGAAAGAAGCTACATGCAAACTGTATTTTTACCAGATGCTCCTGGCTGTACAGGTAAGAGAATTCCTCAATTCTTCTGACAACCTGCTTTCTTTTAGGTGAATTACTCCCTGGTTAGGCAGAAAGCAAGGGACTGTGGATGAAAACCCAGAAGCAGAGAGTCGGTGTGTTGTGTGTTCTGTTCTTGGCAAAAATGTCCCACCCCTGTGACTCAGATGAGAAAGTTCTTGCTGTGAAGCTTGAGAGAGAGTAAGAAAGGGAGTTAAAGAAATAAACACACCGTTCCACATGTCCTCTCTTTAGCTTGGAGGTCTTTCTGGGGGGCGTTGACCTCTACTTCCACCTGATCCTTAAAGAAACCCCTCTTCCCTCACAGGGTGGGAGTGGAGCAGGTATGAGGGTGAGGCTGGCAAGTTGGGGTGGTTGTGACAGATGGACCCCTCCCCCATGGCACAGTACTAGATATTCCCCTACGTGGAGCGTCCTGTTAACGGCTCGGCCGCTGCCTTCTCATCTCTATTCCATGACAGTGTCGGGTGGAGGAACAGCAGGTGGCACCCTGCCCGCTTCGAGGAACATCACTCTTTCTCAAACCAAATTTGGCTGTGGCACTTGCCCAGCAAGATTTCTTCCCTTGAAAACCTGTTGCATGCAGGAAACAGTGATTGGAAGCAGCTCTTGTGTTGAGTGAGGATGGAGAGAGATTTTCCTGGGGCTGCTCCACCTGGATTTGCCTTCCCTGGGGGCTTCACCAGGTCCCTTTCCCAGTGGAAGTGTTTTGGAGGAATTTTTCCTCTAGGCCAGAGAGATTTCCAGAGAAAACTGAAGCCCATAAACACCTAACCAGTGCTTTACTCTCTTAATGGTTTATTCCCTCCCTTATATTATACCAAGTATATTAAGATGAATTGAGTGCAGATCAGTGGACCTGAGAATTTTTTTTCCTAAAGAAATATGACTTAATGTATAAAGATGGACACACAAACATCAACCTTCTATTTCAGCCATAGTGGGCTGGCCCTGTGGCTTAGCGGTTGAGTGCTCGCGCTCCGCTACTGGCGGCCCGGGTTCGGATCCCAGGCGCGCACCAACGCACCGCTTGTCTGGCCATGCTGAGGCCGCGTCCCACATACAGCAACTAGAAGGATGTGCAACTATGACATACAACTATCTACTGGGGCTTTGGGGATAAAAAATAAATAAATAAAATTATTTCAGCCATAGAGTTTTCAAAGACTAAGTCAAGTCTTTGCATTGAGGAGTAGGTGAACTCTGGGTATATAAACAGATATTTTACAAATATGTATTTTACAGATTCCCTTTAAAAATATTCTCAAGGATGGAATAACCAAATATATTAGTTTGGTGGAATTTTTATGGTTTCTTTAATATGGTCTCAAAATATTTTATATTACTTATTTACATTTTTATTATTGAAATTGACACCTGCCAATGTGAAGGGATGTTTAATATCTTGAAAAGTGAAATAAAAGGTTTACTGTCATAAGTTACCTTTTTCATTTTTCTATTCTTGAAAGATTTTCTTGAAAACAAATTTGTAAACACTAACCCCTACACCCAGTAGTTTTCTATGATTTTTGAGAATATGATTGAGAGTAACATGGCTTACAGTTTCACCCAGTTGTAATGTGTGTGTGTGTCTCTACTCATGTACCTCCTCCGTAAATCTAAGGGTCATACCTCCCTTTGTGTGTAGTACCTTCATGAAAATGGCATTATCCATCGGGACTTAAAGCCAGAGAATGTTCTACTCTCATCTCAAAAAGAGGACTGTCTTATAAAGGTAAGAAATTTATGTTCTGTGTGTGGCCACTCCAGTAGATTTCTGTTTAGAAACTGTTTTAATTCATCAGGTAAAAAGTAGGAGCATGAAAAGGGTTGAGAATTATTAGTTTTTTAAAAAGAATCATTTTTAAATTATTTTAGAGATCAGGTGGTATTGCTCCAAGCCAGATTCTAATGAGCATTTATTGACCTCCACTGTGTACTAGCCACTTCTGTGTTTGGAGGGAGGGAGGGGTCTAAATGGATGAGTGAATCACATCCCCTGTCTTCCCCTTCCCTATGTCTAAGGCAGTGCTTCCCAAGCCTGGCTTCTCTTCAGAATCACTGTTGATTCAATCAAATCAACGTTTAATTAATTTAATTAAAAAAACCCACGACACTTCAGATTCTCTGAAGGTGGCACTCAAGTCTAAGTATTTTTTCCAAGCTCCTCAGATATTCCAGTGTGCAGCCAAGGTTGAGAAACTGGGGTCTAAGAAGAACCATGCATTCCTAGTTAGAATCCTAGAGTGTCTGTGATAAGGAGTATAAACCTTTTGTAAGACTACAGACAACACAGATAAGTTGGAGAAAAACTTGGGCCTTCAGGCTCCTTGGCTCAGGAATTTTAATTTAAGTAAAATTAAATAACTTGCAGAGCTTAAAGCTATCTTACAAAGACATGAATTTTTAGATTTCATTTATT